CGAAGCTCGCGGGAGCGTTTCCTTGCGAGGCCGCATGTGGCTCCGAAGTCGCCCCGGTCCTTGATCTCTCCGTCGCCAGGGCGGCGTGGCCGGCAGAGACCTAGCGCGGCCTGAGGGGCGTCTCCCAGCGCCTCAGCGCCTCGGGACCCACGTGGAGAAAGAGGCAGATCCGCGGCCCTCTCCCCGTGAGTAGAGCCAGGGCCAGGAGGGCCCCAATGCTCAGGAGATCGAGCGCGGCGCCCGATGCATCTCTGAGCGGGTGAGAGACCTTCGCGCCCTTTTTGCATCCGAGGATTTGCCTGGAGGTTCTGAAGTGGTCCAGAGTGGGGGCGCCTTGGTGGCGGCGGCACGCGCGCGTCGCAGCGGATCGGGCGGCAGGGCGCGACCGCTTGATGCATCGAGCTGCATTCCTGCACGCCTCGGCGAGGCCGCGGCGCTCGGTCTGGGAGGGGATCGGGGCGCCGTCGACGTCGAGGTCCTTGGAGATCCGGGCTCCCGGTCGGGCCGCCCCCCGGAGCACCGCGATGGTGGTTTTGTATACCAGGTTTCTGTCGTCTGGCACCGACGGTGGGCTGAATAGAGATCCGTTCGGGCTCCACCCTTTCCGGCCCTGCATCGCTGGGCCCAGGGGTGCTGGTCTGCAGCTCCGGATCCGTGCGGATGTAACCCGAGCGTGGAATTGGGGTGGGGCGAGAGCCGCGCACGTAAGCACAGTGGTTGTAGACATCTGTGCGTTTTTGTATTAGGTATGCCTTCTCGCGCGCTCGTTTCCGATGGGCTTCCAAGGTCTGAAGGCGGGTCCAAGATCGCCCAAGAGAGCTCCAAGATGGTCCAAGAGGAGGCTCGAGATGGCACCCAAGAGCGCACAAAGAGCGTTCCAAGAGGGCCCCACAGGCGACGCTTTGGGTTCTGATTGGGCACGGCTAGTTGAGAACCCCAACCTTCTTTGCTGATTGCCCCAAAAGGGCTCCAAGAAACCCCCATGGGCTCCGAATGCTCCAAAAATGGCTTCCAATGGGCCCGAATATGGCTCCAAGACGCCTCCACTGCTCCCATACCGAAAGTCCAGCGAAGGCTGCCATTCTAGATGAATCTTGTCGTCGTCGTCGTCGTCGTCATCGCCGTCGTCGCCTTCTTTCTTCTCCTTCCTCCTCCTCCACCCACCTCGTCCTCCTCCTCCTCCTCGTCCTCCTCCTCCTCCTCCTCCTCCTCCTCCTCCTCCTCCTCATCCGCATTTCTTTTATCTAACTCCTCTCTGTCGCACCCCCGTGTCGGTAGGGCGGGCCTGGCGTTTCGTTTGGGCATCTTCCACGTTTTTGATATTGAGGTTCGGATATTTGCAGCAGCTCCAGGGATGGAGGGCGGCTGGTTTTCAAATGTGCATCTCGCTTCAGCGCCGCGCACACTCGCACGTAAGGGCTGCAGCAACTTCAAGGATGGAGGGCGGCAGGCTGGCAGAATGTGGCTCTCGCCCGAGCGCCGCACACATTCGTCTCTACTGGTTGCAGCAGTTTCAAAGAGAAAGGGCGGTTCGTTTTCACCATGCGTTTCTTGCCCTAGCACCGCGCGCACTGTTCAAGTTTGTAGCAGGTTCAAGGATTCGCAGGGGTGATGTCCCGGGGCTCGTGTTCTGGCACGATCGAAGGGCGTCAGGACGCAGCAGTCACGACCGAAGGGCTGCGGTGTTGACGTCCCGGGAATGAGGAATGGCCCTCTGGCGCGACCTAGGACTGTCAGGGCGCAGCGGTCACGCTGATTCGCGGTGTTGAAGTCCCCGGAATGGGGTTCTGGCGCGATTGAGGATTCTCAGACGGTTGTTTTTCAATGAGGCACTTCCGCAATGAAGACATGTGTTCTCAGGGACCTCTGAAAGAGGGATCTTGGAGGGAGGTTTCATTGCAACATCGTTGATGCGCCGTGGGTTTACACAGGTCCTCCTCCTCCTCCTCATCCTCTCCGTCATGCTCATCCTCTTCCTCGCCCTCCTCCTCCCATCTAGGGCTCACCACAAGTTTGGTGGTTGGAACGCGTCTGTCAAATGCCTCTTTTCATCTGCTCGCCCTCCTCCTCTTCCACCTCCTCCTCCTTATCTTTTCTGACTCCTCCTCATCTGCGTATCTCTCTGTCCTTTCTCTTGTTCTTCTTCGGAGAAGCCGAGACGGTTTTTGTGGTTCGCCCCTGGGTCTGCTCCGGATGATGCCGAGCTTCGGATTGCGGGTCCTTTTGCCTCTCTGCTGCGCCGCTCCTCTGCTAGATGCTGCGCACTTCAACATCTGGGCATCTTGGCCTGGAACCGTCTCTGGATGGAAGGTGGGGATGCGTGAAGCGTCACGAGCTTCTGAAGGAGGAGGCCCAGCCCTTCTTCGCGCCACGAAGACGGATAAAACATTCATCGGTTCGACTATTTCGAGCCTCCGTGGGTCGGCTAAGAGTAACCTGCTGTGTGGTCGAGACCTCCGCGGGGGGCCCATGCCGAGCACAACAGACACAGGGGGCCTTGCGCACTTGGGCTTCGGCGTCTCCAGCAACATCGTGACGGTCAGGCTCGGCATCCGGGAGGGGTTCTCGGGCCTGGGACCGTCGGACAACTATTCTTCACGCTTTGCGTATCCCCACCAGTTTCCGCGCCCCGGACAGCTTCTGTCTCCGCCTGCGCTTTCGCTAGCGGACGCGACCGAAACAGTATCCCCACCAGTTGTGCGGAATTTAGGTCGTTGCATTGTTGCTTCGTTCTGACGGCGCGCGGCTGTACCGCTTTTACTCGCGACCAACAAGAATCCCCACCAGCCCATTCAGAGAACCTGCCCTCCAGAGGTGACGGGGAAAAGGGACGAAGAGGCACATCTAGGAAAACAAAGCGAGCAAGGGGTGGCCTTGGAAGGCCTCTTCGGGCCATCCCTGGGTGCCGCGTAGGGGCGAGGGGAAGAAGAGGAGGAGGAGGAGGAGGAGGAGGAGGAGGAGAAGGAGGAGGAGGACGAGGAGGACGAGGAGGACGAGGACGCGGATGAGGACAAGGACGAGGAGGACGAGGACTAGGATGAGGACGACGCGGACGAGGCTTCATGGAACCATCTAGAGGTATGTTTGCGGCTGCTGCCGCTGCTGCTGCTGCTGTTGTTGCTGCTGCTGCTGCTGGTGCTCCCTGGGAGTTTGGGGGGCTCTCATGGAACCCTCTTGGTAATCTTGGGAGCATCTTGGAGGCCATCGATTACAAGCTGGGGCGTCCCAAACTCAGCTCCCCTCTCAGGAGCCAGCAGACCGCTTCTTGGGGCTCTCTTGGAGCGCTCTTGGAGCGGTCTTGAGGTTTGGAGCATACTGGGAGCCATCTTGAGCCTGCTTGGGCCATCTGAACCAGCTTGGAGGTCATCTTGGGCTCTCTGAGACCGATCGGGGGCCTCTTGGGGGCCGATCGGGTGCCTGTTGGGGCCCTCTTGGGACCCTCTTGGAGCCCTCTCAGGGGCCCTCTTTGGGCTCTCTTGGGAGCCCTGGAGCGCCTCTTGGGGCCATCTTCGAGGCTATCGATCAAAGGAGGGATTCACCCGATCGACGCCCCCCCCTCGGGGGCCACGATCCTCGTGAGGGGTGTCAAACATTGGCCCTCCCAGGGGCCGATGTTGGACGCTCCAACGCCTCGCGGCCCCTCCCGTCCAGGTCCAGGGGAGGGGGTAGGGTGAAGGGTCAAGAGTCTCCCTCCCCGCCCGCAAGCCGTCTCGCTCACCCCGAGCCTGGCCCGAGCCGCAGCATATGCAGCAGTCGTCTTTGGATGGCCAGCTACTGGGGGCCAATCCGCCGCCGCCGCCTACGCCGCCGCCGCCGCCCGCCGCCGCCGCCGCCGCTGTCCGCCGCTGCCGCCGCCACCGCGCTGCCCGCCGCCGCCGCCGCCGCTCCCGCTGCCAAATCGCCGCAGCCGCAGCCGCTGCCGCCGCAGCCGCTGCCGCCACCGCTGCCGCCGCCGCCGCCGCCGCCGCAGCCGCCGGAGCCTCAGCGTGTGTTTTGTAGAGTTTTTACAAGGGATGGTGGGGGGGGGCCGCATGGACCTGGGTTGGCTCCCAGTCGCCTGGGGGAGGGGGTGCATTTTAATTGGGAACAGTGATAAACTCCTCCCCGAAGGGGAAGAAGGGCTGTTGGAAGAGGGGAGGAAGTCATCGTTAGACCACCTGCGCCCAGAGGGCTGGTGGGATTCGGGGGGCGACGCTGGTCCATGCGCGGGGGTCCGCGCCCTTGGTGCCCCATGTTAGACAGAAGCGAGCTCGGGGGACCCGCTGGGGGCGGGGAAACAGTGCTTTGGAATCGGTGATCCATCGTCGGCAGATCGGCAATAGGCCCCCCCCCCCCATGGCGAGACCGCCGCGCGCGCCCAGGAGTTGGGGGGTGTTGACCTCCCCCTGGGCATTGGCGGGGCCAGCTGGTCGTTCAAAGCTTGATGACTCCTGGTGTCTCTCGACTCGCGCTGGAGCGTCCACGATTTGCTCCAGGTTTCCTTGGAGATCTCCAGATCCAGTTCTCCTTGCCTCGATTTACGTCGATTCATTCGGATTCACCCTGGCTCGTGTTGCCTGATCCCCGCGAGCTGGTCGGAGAGCGGTGGTCAAGCCACTGGAGAGTCGAGGCCAGCCAGTGCAGGGGGACCTCCTCCGGCTGTCTATGCTGCGCTCCAGCAGCACCGATGGGGATCCAACGCTTGGGCGACGCGTATTGGGGGGGGGGCGAGAAGGTGGAGGAGCAGCGAGGGCTGCAGGAAAGGGGCCTTGCAGGGCCCCTGGGGGAGCCCTTTAGGGCCCCAAAGGGAGGCCTTCAGGGCTGGAAAGGTACACATTTCTCCTCCTCCTCCTCCTCCTCCTCTTCCTCCTCCCCCTCCTCCTCCCCCTCCTCCTCCCCCTCCTCCTCCTCCTCCTCCTCCTCCTCCTCCTCCTCCTCCTTTCTCCCTCTCTCCCCATTGATCGCCCCCCCCCCCAGTCAGCGACGCCCCAGGGGGCCGCCGTCTCCTCCCGAGGATCGAGGTTCGAGGGGGTTCTTGGACGACCTCTCGCGTGCTGGGCGGGCCTGGCGGAGTTTGGGGGGGTCACGAGGGGTCCTCCTCCGCCAGGAGGTCGCGACCCCCAGGTCGGGCCTGTCCCTCTGCAGGGGGAGTATTCAAAAATAGTTGAAAAATAGTATGGGGACCATTTTTTGAATATTTTCTGACCAGTTTGGAGTTGTATTGTTAATTTTTCGTCGAAAATGCCCCTGCAGGGGGACAGGCCCGACAGGGACGCGTAACCCCGAGCTCTGCCCGGGAGGCATGGCCAGCGTCTTGCTCGTTTTTCGTGCCCGCTCCGTGCCGGGCACCGCTGCGAGGGTCATCTCTGCCCACGCGGCGACAGGCCGGATTTTCAACCCGCCCGAGCGTGCCGTGCGAGGGGCCATGCCGCCGATGTCGACCCTGGTTTCGCCTGGTCTGGCCCGGTTTGGCGGCGCAAGCCGCTTGAGACATCTGCGCAATTTGCCCGGTTTCGCCCCTGGTTCGGCCCGGCTTCGCCTCTGAGATGTCCTCGCGACTTGCTTGGTTTCGCCTGGTTCAGGCGCGGTTTCGCTCGAGACGTTCTCGCAATTTGCATCGTTTCGCCCTGCTTTCGGCCCGGCTTCGCTTGAAAAGTCGTCAGAATTTGTTTGGTCTCGCTTGGTTTCGGCGCGGTTTCGCTGGAGACGTCCTCTCAATTTGCGTGGTTTGCCTTGATTTCGGCGCGGTTTGGCTTGAGACTTCCTCGCAACTTGCCTGGTTTGGCCCTGGTTTGGGCGCACTTTCGCTTGGCATGGTTTGGGGCATCTTCGGCGCGCCCTGGGTCAAGCGTCGCCAGCAGGGCCTTTGCAACGTTCCTGGTTCGAACTGGCATACTGCGTGCGTATCAGGAAAAATCTCTGCACATTGCCTGCTCTCGGGCGCGGGCATGGCCCGACGAATTACATCTTACACGTGCTCATTGTCCTCCTCTTCCCCCCTCCTCCTCGCGGTCCTTACCCCACTCCTCCTGCTCCTCCTCCTCCTCGTCGTCCTCCTCCTCCTCGCTCACCATCTTCGCATTCTTCCCTCCACTTTCGTATCAACGGTCGTTCAATAAGTGTTCCTGTGCAGAGGACGGACCGGAATCTGTCTCGTTCAATGAGGCTCGCGGGTGCAAGCACGTGGAAAAGTACGATGCGTAGTGAACACACATATTGATCCTCATTCGGCACCATTGTGTTACAGGGTAACAGGCGAAGTGGGCGTGGACATCCGAAGCGCAGTGTGTCCGGCCAGAGTATCACATGGTGCAACCATCGCTCACATAATTCATGCTGCTATACGGCATTGGACAATGTGGCGGCGTTCAGAGAAAACCTTTCCCAGCCTGTAGCGTGGTTTCGGGGCTCCTTAGGCGTGTTGGAGCCCAGCTTGAGCAAGCTGAGGTGGAGTATTGGGCATCGTGGAGGCCTCGGGGATGCGTTTAGGAGCTCGTCCCCCCACCTGGGACCTTTGGGAAGGGGGAAAGGGGGAGGGGACAGCCAAATGTTTCACACGCCGTGTCACCGCTGGGAAGCGGGGGTCGGTGGATTCCTCCTTCCCCCCATCATCATAGCAACGTAGTCCTCCCTTTCCGTGCCTCCCTCTTTCCTCCTCCTGGTCCCCTCCCCTTGTCTCTTCCTCGTTTTTGTCCTGGTCCTCTTGCTCCTCTTCCTCTGCTTCTCGTCCTCCTCATCATCCCCTGCTCCTGGGTCCTCTTTCCATTCTCCCTCCTTGTCTGCATCCTCCCCCCCCTGTCTTCCGCTCACGCCCCTCCTCTTCAGCCCCTACTTGTCCCATTGTCTTGCGCTCCACACTTTCTCATCGTTTTCATCCTGCTGCTCCTCCTCCTCATCACCATCATCAACATCAACATCAACATCAACATCAATATCAACACCACCACCATCATCATCATCATCAGCATCATCATCGGCATCAGCATCATCGTCGTCGTTATCATCATCGTCGTCACCATCATGGGTGTCATCATCATCATCATCCTCATCATCACCATTGCCATCATCACCAACCTCCTCCTCACCATCATCATTAGCATCATCAGCATCATCGCCATCAACATCACCACCAACAACAGCACCAACACCAACACCAACCCCATCATCATCATCATCATCATCATCAACCTCATCCCCGTCATCATCAGCATCAGCATCATCAACACCATCATCATCACCACCACAATCATCATCATTTTCATGACCATCATCGCCATCATCATCATCGATCATCATCAGACTCGTCATCATCAGAATCAGCATCTTCATTATCATAATCATGAGCATCGTCATCATCGTCGCCATCATCATCGTCTTCATCATCATGGGCGTCATCATCATCATCATCATCATCATCATCAGTATTACCATCACCATCATCATCACCGCTTTCATCATCATCAACCTCCCCACCACCATTATCATCATCCACGCCATCGTCACCACCACCAACAACAGCACCAGCACCAACAACATCATCGTCACCATCAGCATCATCCTCGTCATCATCATCAGCATCAGCGTCAGTATCATCAACACCATCATCACCACCACCACCATCATCACCGTCATCATCATTGTCATCACCATCATCACCATCGTCATCGCCATCATCATCGCTCATCACCATCATCGTCATCATCACCAGCATCATTATCATCATAGTCATCATCGTCACCAGCATCATTATCATCATCTGCATAAGCATCAACATCATCATGATGATCATGATCATCATCATCGTGATCTTCATCATCGTAATCATCATCATCATCATCATCATCATCATCATCATCATCATCATCATCATCATCATCATCATCATCATCTTCATGCTCATCATCATCAGTATCGGCTCTCCGTCCCGAGCCTTGTCTCGACGGTCCCGCAGGACCCGACATCAACACCGAATCTAAAGTGCGCAGCAGATTGGATCTCCCACGGTGGGGTCCGGCAACGGACCCAGCTGGATGGTCACACGTCCTTCGACCAGGGGCCGTTCAGAGCGATTCCTATAGGATTTCTGACGGTCTGGATCGTTCTATCCCAGCAGCGCTCGTCGATTTCGGCTTCTGGGGCCCTTGATCGGGCCCAAGGGCCAGCAAACAATGACCCGGGAGGAGAAGCTGCCCCTGCTGAGGGGATCGAGACCTTCGGACCTCTGCGGCCGCGCAGTGGAAAGGATACATCGTCGCCGAGCGTCAGGTGACCTCTGACCCCACCGAGAAGGTACTCTTGGCGGGCAAGTCGCGAGTCGTGGTGCTGGAGGGGGTCCCGGGTCCCAGGGGGCTTGCGGTTGCTGGCTCAGCGGATCTTCGAACGACTCGGTGCACCAAATGAGACCACGGCCACGTCAAAGGAGGCTCGTCGAACCCAACACACACACACACCAACACACACACACACACACACACACACACGCTGACGCAGCGCATCGTGCACGGCACACGCAGCGCGGTCGCGACGACCACGATCCACGCGCAAGCGGTCGACCCCCAAGAATCCCACGTTCGGCTCACCGCTCCCGTGGCACCCCCGACGCATCCCACGGCAAGAACCGCCCCTGGGCCGGCGGGAGTTTAACCATATCCACCGCCTGGAGGGTCAGCGTTCGGAGCCTCGGCAGGCGGTGGATATATGGGCATCTTCGGGCCCCCGGGGCCGAAATATATCCAGATCCACCGCCCGCTGGGGCACCAGGACGTCGGTTCCCAGGCGGTGGACACGGACAAATCCCCGCCTCGCATCTACGCCCCTGGGCCACTCCGCCTCCTATACGCCCCTGCGGCCGGAGGGCGGAGCCGGCGGGAGGCCTCCGCACGGCCTCGCCCACCGCGCCGGCGGACGGTGGTGTGCACCCGCTCCGCCGGCCGCCCGGGGAGGCTCGCAGAGGGGAGGGCGTTCTCTCCCAAGGGAGAGGGCCGGGCAGCGAGCACGGCCGGATGCTCGAGTTCGGCCCGGTGCCTGCTTCCATCGGAGGTGGATAGACCTCCTACCCTGACACGTCGATTAAGGAATCGGCCGTTTTCGGTTCGCGAGAAGGCGTCGCGGCCGTCATTTTTGCGGGTCCAGCTCCGCCGGTTTCGGTCCCAGGCCGACTTCACTAAAGGGAGGTTTACTAAAGGGAGGTTTGTCCACCACCGATTCCAGGGGCCGCTCGGAGCGATTCTCCTTCCAGCCCCACTCTTTGGCTCCAGCTCGGAAAATGGAGCACATACATACATTACCAGCGGCGGGCTGCGTTTCAATCCCAGGACATTTCGAGGGTCGGGGACGACGTCGGGGTGGTGTGGTGTATACTTTCCCCCGTTTTTCCAGGGAAGCGACGAAACATGTATACACCAGGATCCCGTATACACCAGTATCCTCTTTCCTGTGCGAGTTTCAGTGCGGGGCCCGAAAAAAGCGTCGCTGTATAGAGTTTGGATCCTTACCTACCCCCCATCTTCACCGTAGAAACGTGAGACTCGAGTGCGCTGGAGCTCGGGTTTGCTGGCGCTGTTCGACGAGCGCGTCTCGTATTCGACGGTCCAGTTTTCGTGGGATCTCTCCAGGGGGAGCTCGCGCCAGGTTTCTGGCCATGTCTCGTCATTTTCATGATGGCCCCGTCAGGACAAACCGAGTCCCTCGAACTCGAGTCGTACAGTCAAGACGCTGAAACTGAAACAAGGACCGCTTTGGGTTCGGAAGGGGCTCGCTGTTCCTTAGGTCATTCCGTGGTTGTTCCTCTAGCCCTCCTCGTGCACCCGGGCGCTGCTGGGGCCGGAAAAGGGCCTCGTTCCTTAGCGTTCCTCATGGCAGCAGCTGGATCGTTCGTTTTCCCGATTCCCAGACCCCCGACGTCATGATTTTTTCATACGTCGACCCCCGAAAGTCTCGACCCTTTCCCCAGGGCCGGTTTTGCAGCCCGAGTCGTTTTTTGACGGTCCCGAGCTCCGGTGAGTGCCCCCAGAGGCTGAAAATCCCGAGCACTTTCTTTGGGTGGAGGGCAAAGGGTAAAATCGGAAATGCCGTTTCGACGGATTTTCGAGGCTTGAATCTGCAAAAGGTGACTCACAAGACGGATCGGCTGTCGAGATGCAGAAGCCCATGTGGATTTCACCCTGAGCCCTCCGCCCCGAGGGAAATGCTCAGCAACAGCGGAAAAAAAGCCTCCCGACGTGATTTTGACATGGCCCGAGGGGGTCTGCGCTCTACGCCCCCCTCGCCTCCCGCCCCCCCGCCCCCCGCACCCCAGCCCTTCGGGCCTGTGAGCCCAGCGGCGAGAGCGGGTGACGAGCAGACGCGGAAAAGCCGGAAGAGGAGAGGAGGAGGAGGAAGGCGGAGGAGGAGGAACGAGGAGGACAACAGCGCGGAGAGGAGGAGGAACGAGGAGAGAAGGAGGAACGAGGAGAGGAACGAGGAGAGGAACGAGGAGGGGCGGAGGAGGAGGTACGAGGAGGACAACAGCGCGTAGAGGAGAGGAACGAGGAGAGGAGGA